TGGCTCAGCCCTGGCCCCCATGGGTGCCATTTCCTGGCAGTGTCTGGAATGGGCCTCCCAGATCTCAGAGATGAGCCTGACCGGGCTGGGCCCCCAGGGCTCTGGGCTGGCCGGGTTGGGGACAGTGGTCGGCAGGACCCACACGGGGATGGGCATCTTGCAGGGCCAGGTGGGTGATGTCTGGCTGGGCTGTCCCCGGGGTCCACATAGGTGATGGGGAGAGTGCAGGTGGTCAGCGAGAGGGCACTGAGGACCGGGGAACAGACTGGGGGTACTGGCAGTGGAGAGGCTGGACAGACGGAGGTGGTAGGGCAGGACCCTGGAGGCCTTGGGGGGGGGGTCCATCAGTGGAGTGGTCGCTCCTGCCACTGGGCTTACCTGCCTTGTTGGGGAGAGCCTGACTGGGGTGGAGGCAGCCGAAGCCCAGGCTCCTCCCGAAGCCGCCACTGCGGCCTAGAGAAACACACAGAGGCCGTGGTGAGAGTCAGCAGGGAGCGTGGGTGGGGGGACACGCCGCCCCAGCCTCGCTGGTGACACATGGGACAGGGCAAGAAGAACGGAAATAGTGAGTGTGGCAGGCTGTGGCGGGAGGCGGCTTTACGGGAAGGCGAGATGCAAAGTGCTGACTCTGGCGCACCGGCCCGCCCGCCTCCGTGGCTCTCGGTTCTATCTCAGCAGGTGGCCGCTGGTGCGAGTCACAGCTGAGCTCAAAGCAGATGCCGCTCGCTTCCTCCACCCGGTTGGCGCCTCTTTCTTCTTTCTGAGTATCACTATGAACCTGTGCTCTTGTGTAAACTCAGCGTGAACGAATCAGTTAGCTTTCTGATGTTTATTTCAGCGTTGTTTGATGCTCAGATTGCTCTGGTGTCATTTTTTTATACGAGTAATTTGTTTCTGAGAGCAGTTCTAGCTTTACAGAGAAACTGTGCAGAAAGCACAGACTGTTCCCGTGAGCCCCTCTCTTGTCTGTGCACTGTTTCTCCTGTTGCTGACATCTTGCGTTGGTGTGGTACATTTGTTACAATTGATAAACAGATATGGATACGTTGTTATTAACCAAAGTCCACAGTTTACATCAGGGTTGCTCTTTGTGCTGCACAGTCCTGTGGGTTTTGAGGGAGGCATGTCACATGTCCACGATCACGGCATCATGTACAATAGCTTCACCGCCCTGTGTTACTGTGCCATGACTCTAAGGAGCCTACAGTAGCTTTCCTGCCTTTCGGGACAGCAGCTCTTTCCCGATCCCCCCTGTACTGCCCACCTTGACTTAGAATGAGTCGTCCATCCAAGGAGCCCTAGCCCCTTTTCAAAGGTGACAGGGCTTGTTCCAGCGTTCAGCTCCTTTCCATGGACAGAGCTAGGTAATATGATTTTTAAAAGGAGAAAAGAGAATGAGTTCACACTATTTCCATTTCAAACAGAAAATCACAAGATTGTGGTTTTTTAAAAAAATTTTGAGTTTTATACTAAAAATCTTGGTTCCTTCATATTCACAAAATTAATTACTTAGCTTATTTTATAATTTGTATTTAACAGTTTTAAAATATCAGTGCCAACATTTCTACCAACAGTAGTACTACTGCCTGGAATTCAAGAGGACGGGGCTGTTCTTTGAGTGCTTGGACGATGTGCCCATGGCCATGGTGTAAAGTTAAAACACTGTATTCTAAGTTCAGCTGGAAAAATTCTTTTTTTGGCGTGATTATGCTATCAACACGATACACAGTTAACTTGATATATGTTTGTTTCAGTTTGTTGAAAAGTTTTAGGGATTGCTCTTCTTTCGGATTTAAGGTTTTTCATTATGCAAACATTTCCTCGATTCCACTGTAAAGTCGCGCTAACGAGGACCATTCGGAGAAGCTTTGCTCCCTTTCCTGGTCCCCCCCAGCTGTAAGTTATCATTTCGCACTCGGCTGCTAACTGAAAGGTTGAGGTTCAAGTCCACTCAGAGGTGCCTTGGAAGAAAGTCCTGGCCATCTACTTCCAAAAAAGCAGCCATTGAAAACCCTGCAGAGCACAGTTCTATTGACACACACGGAGTTGCCATGAGTTGGAGTTGACGTATCGGCAACTGTTTATCTTTCCGTTGTTTCTTATCACAAGCCAAAGTGTCGGTGTGTTCTCTAGTCGTCCCCTCCTTCCTCTCTTCGCTGGGCTGCCCGTCTGGAAATTCACTCTGTGTCCAAGCCCGACCCCGGGGCTCCGGTACATCCTCCCCTCACAGCTTTGGGTCCTTCCGTCTTTTGCTGTTGCAAATCCAGCCCATGAGCGCCTGCCATTTAACATTTGCCGGTTACCCTTGGGAGGTCTTTCTACAGGGGATTGATGGGTGAAAGCGGAAAAGCTTCCCTGACGTGGCTCCAGAGAGCGCCCAGTTCTCCTCCTGGTTGGCGTGTCCACCAGTGACGCAGGCGGGGCCTCTTCCCCCAGAGCATCGGAAAGGTGAGAAATGGTATCTCTGTGTAGTTTTAATTTGCATTATCTTACGGTGAGTAATATGGAACATCCGTTAATTCCATTACACATATATGCACCTATGTGTATGTATCTGTGTGTGTGTGTATGTGAATAGATATTTAAAAAACAAATTTTGTGAACTGTCTGGTCATAGTTCCTGCTCACATCTGTATTGTACTTTTGGCGTTGCTCTGCCTGCATTTTTAGGAGATCATCATATAACAGGGATCTTATTGTTTTGTGCAATATATTGCAAATGTTTCCCCCAGTTCGCCTATGGTTCTTTCATCATGCTAACATCTTTTCTTCAGTTCAGAGAGTTGAATGTATCTATCTTTTCTTTACCTGCCCCTTGATGGTGAGTTATGGTTAGGGAGGCTTTCCCTACTCCTACCCTTCAAAGGAATCCACCCACGTTTTCTTTGACTGCTGGCTTGGTTTCATTATTTTACATTTGCATTTCTGTTGCTTTGGGATTTATGCTGGCGTACAGCACACGATGTGCATCCAAGCTAATCTTTTCCTAAACAGCTCTCAGTGTCCCAACACCACTTATTAAAAAGCCCATCTTTTCCCCACTGATGTGGAAGCCTCCAACATCAGATGCCAATTCTGGTCTTTATATCCACGGGCGAACGCCACACTGTTCTAACGACAGGAAGTTTAACTCTCGGGTAAGGCTGACTGTCTTCACTTCTATTTCAGACTTTTCTTGACTGTTACTAATTGTTTCTTTTCCCATATTAAATTTATAATGAACATGTCTAGTTCCCGAAATGTGGATTTTTATTGGGATCACAGTAAATTTGTAAATGAACGCGGGAGGAAGTGACAGCATTACAGTGTTGACTCAGCCTAACTGAGAAAGCTGTGTTTCCACTGACCAGGTCTGGTCTGGGGCTCGAAGTTCTCCTCACATGGCTTTGAACTTGTCTCGTTAAATTTGTGCCCAAGAACTTCCTCTTTCCTGCCGCTGTGGATGGCGCATTCCCTGCACTTTCTCTCCTAGTGCTGACTACTTAGATGGATGCAAACCACTTATTCCTGCGTGCTCATTTCGAATTCTCTTCTTGACTAGGTTTTCTTATTACTTGTGGTGGTATTTCCATGGAATCCGTTGGGCTTTCTGCACACAAAACCATGGCATCTGCAGCGTCCTGGGCATGGTCCCTCCGGTGCTAGATCCTGTCTCGCCTTGTCTCGGCTTGCACCTCCAGGACCACGTGTAGTTCTACCTCTCCCTCAGGCACCCAGCGTGATGGGGGGCGTGTGTCTGACGGCCTTGGCCAGGCTCACTACTCCGTGTGTGTATGAAGGGTGAGGCTGGGGAGGGGTGTCTGCCATTGTTGTTAGGGATTAACTCCAGCGTCAAGGCCCACCCCCCCGCCCCCGCCACCACAGTTGAGTCTCTGGAGGACAGGAACAGCATCTCCTGTGCATTCGAGAGAGGGACCTCATTTCCCCAGACAGCTATGTCCTGCCCCCCACCTGGCCCCAGCCCTGCCCTGGAGGGACCCCAGGAGGGCGTTGGAGCAGGGCAGATGCAGGTGTGATCACTCTCAGGACACCTGCCCTTGCAGGCTGATGTGGTCTGGGGCAGGGGCCATGGGACCCCCGCAGATTTCACACCTTTGGTGTGTGGTGTGGGGGTCATGTGAACAAGGACAAGGAGCCCTCAGAGGGCTGTGTGTTTCTGGGGACAGTGAGGGTGTGGGGGTCATGAGATGAGGACAGGGGCAGGGCCTGACCCCTGGGCCTGACTGGGCCGGGGCTTCAGGGGGCCGCCACCTTCTCCCCCTGGGCCTCAGCTCACCCAGAGGCTGGCTGTCCTCTCCCTCCCACCCTAACGGACAGTCTCAGGCCCTTTTGCAGAGCTTCTGTTATTATTTAATTATAATATATAATAGAATAGACCCTAGTGGGGAGGGGCTGCCCAGCCCACCAGCCTGTGAATGTTGTACCCAGGATGGAGGAGATCACTCCTGGGGCCCAACCACCTGGCGCCCGCCGGCCACAAGGACTCCAGCCGCCCAGCCCGACGGACAGCAGACGGCCATGTGCAGATTGGATGAGGAGCTGCCAGTTTCACCCACTCCTCAGGGTGGCTGGCAGAGATGGGTCCACCACACTGGGATGAGCAGTGGGGCTGCAGCCCCTCAGAGTGGCCCTGGCCCTGTTGGGCACCTCCCCCCACTACCATGCAGCTTCTGCCACAGCCGGGCCCTGCCCATGGGGAGGAGCTGGCCAGCCCTGGCAGGTGGGTGTTGGAGACGTGAGGAGCCCGGCCTGCCACAGCCGTGGTTACGGGGGCCTGCTCTGCCCACACAAGGCCTGTGGCTGGGGCCGTCCCATCCTCCCGAGTCCTGGCTTCCTTGCTGATGATGCCCAGGCTCTCTGTGAGCATTAGAGTCCAGGGTGATGGTGGCCGCCGTGCGGGGCGGGAGCAGGGCTGTCACTGGAGGGACAGAGCTCACCCCTCAAGTGGCCCCACTGTCCCCCACACCCCACATGCTCTCCTAAGGGAAGGACCGGGCCCTTAGCTTGAGGTGGGGGCCTGAAGGCCATGGAGGACTGAGGCCAATGGTCAGAGGGGCCAGGAGCAGTGAGTGTCCTCGGACCTCAGAGGCCGGGGTCCCTGCAGGCCGTCGGCTGAGCCCCTGCGGCCCACAGAGGACACACCGTCTGGGAAGATGATGGTGGCATACTCGGTCTGCTCGGGGAAGCAGGCAGCAGGGGGCTCTGGGGTCTTCTCCCGCCGCTGGAAGTCCAGCTCGCCGTAGTCCACGGTGAACACGGGTATGGCTGAGGGGTCTTCCTTCTTCCAGGAGAAGAGAGGGGGAGGTCAGTTGCTTCTCTGAGTGGCCGATGCAGCTGTGTGGCCGAGGGGACCCAGACACCACCCAGACAGTCACTGAGTGTGGGGGTTCTACAGCACACATATTCACACAAGCCCACACATGTGTACACATACACTCACCACACATACAGGTGCTCAATCAAGAGGCACACGTATGTGCATGCGTGCCCACACACGCCAGCACATGCATGCACTTGCATCCACACCCTCACATAATGCACGCAATACACCCAGATATGCTCACATATGTGCACGCACACATGGATACGCACACTCACACATGTGCACACATGATCACACACACTCACACTGGGCCATGGGGAGGGTGGGGGCTACTGTGCGTGGCCCGGATGGAAGCTGGTGGGTGAGCCACGGGGCCAACACTGCAGCTGGAGGCGCCACACTCCATGGGCGCAGCATGAATGAGGCCCAGAGGCCTGCCCAGGGGCCCGGGTCGGGGCAATCCTGGCTGGAGGGGCTGTGGGTGAGGCCCCACTCCCTCTGCCACCACAGGCAGGGCCCACCCCTCCCTGGGGTCCAGCGTCCCCATCTCCCAAACACAGGGACCCGGTGACGCAAGGCCTCTGAGCTGACAGGGCTGTGCCTATAGCATTTTACTCCTGGTCCCACAGCCTAGCGGCCGCTTCAGCTCCGCCCAACACTACCGGGTGATGGGGAGGGGTGCGGGGGAGGGGTTGGGGGAGCGGCTCATCTTCTCTGGCCAGCGTCTCTGCCCTCCCCCATCAGAGGAAAAGCAATCACCATGCCTAGCAGATGTCCACAGACGCACGTGCACACAAGTCCACACAGGCACACAACACAGCCTTTACACATACACACGCAGGAGCACGCACACACATGGGAGCACACAGGCGCTCTCCGCTGACGGGCTGGTTCCACCGCCCTGGGAAACAACAGGAGTGCCCGGGAGGCTCCGGGACAGTGGCTGTGGGACAGAGGCCACGCTGCTTGGAGTCTGGGTCCCAGGCTGCAGCCCCTTGGGCCCCCACCTCTGCCAGCCCCTCCACCTGTCCCCCTGCAAAGCCAGGCATACAGGGAGTGGTGGCAAGAGGGGAAGGGGGCTCACCAGAGGCTCGCCGTTGCTCTGTGCTCCGCTGGCCCCTGCAGAGGAACACAGGCATCAGGTGCAGAAGTGCTGAGGTGGCCTCTAGGGCCTCTGCCCCGAGGTCTCCACCTGCCTGTCCTGGGGGCTCTGTGTCCTGGGTGGGCGAGCACTGTCCCCACTTCCTGCCAGTCCGGTTAACCCGCCCCGCTTCCTGCAGCTGTGTAATGACTCCCACCCCTGCTGACTCTCAGAGCGTCCATTTGAACGATGACTTCTCAGGGGTACAGCTGCGTCATACGGCCTGGCTTCATGCTTCTGAAGCCAGGCAAGGGGCCTCGTGGCTGTGCCTCAGTGTTCTCGCACGGGTTCGGGGAGCACACAGTCGGGGTGCGTGTGTGTGTGAGGTTGAGGGCACCCATGGCAGCTGGACAGTCAGGGTGTGTGGGGTGTCCACGGTGGCCCCTCATACATGGTCAGGGTGTGAATGGGGTGTGTGGGGGTGTCCACAGTGGCCCCCTCACACATGGTCAGGGTGTGAATGGGGTGTGTGGGGGCATCCGTGGCGGCCCCCTCATGGGTGGTCAGGGTGTGCGTGATGTGAGGGAGGACGGGGTGTCCACAGCAGCCCCCTCACACATGGTCAGGGTGTGAATGGGGTGTGTGGGGGTGTCCACAGTGGCCCCCTCACACATGGTCAGGGTGTGAATGCGGTGTGTGGGGGTGTCCACAGTGGCCCCCTCACACATGGTCAGGGTGTGAATGGGGTGTGTGGGGATGTCCACAGTGGCCCCCTCATGGGTGATCAGGGTGTGCGTGATGTGAGGGAGGACGAGGTGTCCACAGCGGCCCCCTCACACATGGTCGTGGTGTGTGTGTATGTCCACAGCAGCCCCCTCACACGTGGTTAGGGTGTTAGAAGGGGTTGAAGGTGTCCACAGCGGCTGCCTTGTGGGTGATCAGGGTGTTAGAACGGGTTGAAGGTGTCCACAGCGGCCGCCTTGTGGGTGATCAGGGTGTTAGAAGGGGTTGAAGGTGTCCACAGCGGCCACCTTGCGGGTGATCAGGGTATTAGAAGGGGTTGAAGGTGTCC